AAAAAGAGTAAGTCTGGCACAAATCCCTAGGTGAGGCTGGACTACAATCTGGTCTCATGAGATCTGGAGTCACGAACAGCAGTGCCCACCTGGGGTAGCTCTCTCTTCTCTCCTTTTCTGCTGACAGCGTGCCATAAGAGCTGGCTTCATTCACCTGTCTTCCTGCGAGGCCCTTCCCCCCTTCCTTTTTCTTTCCTTTTCACATTAAGTCTTTCGCATGGCCCTTCTTTCACTAGCTATGCCTCTGTCTTATTGACTTAATGAAATCTTTTCACTTGTTTTCTAAAAACAGTAAGTCTGGTAGAATCTCTAAATTTGATGATTTATTGAGATTAGTGTATTTGGTAGCTTCAATCAGAGCTGTCATTATGTGAAAGTCTTTCTCTGAAGGCTAAGTATTCCAACTACTGAGGAAAGATGTGAAAAGTTTGGAGGGAGTTTACCATTCACTCCTCTCATGCTCCAGTTTCTCTCTCAATTATCTTGGGGAAATGCAATACTTTTCAGTATCATTTAGTCTGTTTTCATCCTACAGACTTCCTCCCCCATTACTCATCCACACATACAAATGAGTCAATGATCCATAAAACCTTCTTTCATAAAATTTAATCAACATGAACTCTTGCATTATTTCAATTTTTTTTAAGAAAGAAAAAAAGCATTTCTATCACCTGACAGAACAAAGACTCCAACCCTCTCCCTTTCCAGTACCACGCCCTCCAACAGAACTGACTCCACTATCTTTAGAACTTGGTTTCCAATCCTTATAACACCTTTTTCTACAATGGGGGGGGGGGGGAAGAGGGAACACTTGTAGAATAAGCATGGTCACTAATAATAAAGGAACACAAAAAATGGTGTTTCCTCTTCAAAGTAGAAGACTGGCACAAGTATTTTGAATTTCAAAGGACATTCATAACAGGGAGAAAAATAAACAAAGAATTGTTTAAAATGCTAAATGCTTCCAGTTTTTGTGTTTCTTTGGTTTTGAATTATTAAGGAAATAAACGGTGATAAAGATTCACAAATCTTGGTTTGAATTGTGGTGTCAGAGCACTGAGAACAGATATTTTGGAGAAGGTGCAGCTAGAGTGCTCCTTAAAGGCAAAGATGATAAAGCTTCATCTCACATACTTCGGGCATTTTGCTAGGAGAGGCTATTCATTCCTTGGAGAAGGACATCATGCTTGGCATGGTTGAGAATTGTGAAAGAGAGGAAGACCCTCAGCCAGGCGGACTGACACAGTGACTGCAAGAATGGGCTCAAGAGTGTCAGAGACTTTGAAGACGGCACAGGACAGGGTTCAGATCTGTTGTTCATAGGGCCACTATGAGTCATACTCAACTCTATGGCACCTAGCAACAACAACTATCTTGATTAGCTCGGGTAGCCTAACAGGAAGAGCTGAGCTGCCAAACAAAAGCATGAAGGTCAAACCCCACAGTTGATCTGCAGGAGAAAAGATGGGCCATCTCCTCCCGCATGACTTACTGCCTCTGAAAACTACTGAAGGGTCAGCTATGGGCCTGTTCCAACACGACTGTCCTCAACAACAATCTTATTTAGAAGAATTCTGGGGGTGTAGTCCATACAGTGTTGTGCCATTAACTAAAAAGCCCTGTGTCTCTGTGGGATCCCGGTGCCCATCAACTGGCCCACTGATGAAAGTTGAGCCATCTCCTCTCTTTACATTTACTGTCTCAGAAACCTGATGGAGAATCACTAAGAGTCTGAGTCTGAGTCTGAATCACTAAGAGTCTGACTCACTAAGCTGTGAGTTTTTGAAACTTGGTTAGAAATGCTTTTTCTCTCTTGGTTGGAATATGATAAAAAACCCCTTGCCACCCAACTTCAAATTCCTCCAATATTATATATTAACTTACCTTTAATTTCACAAACTGCCATCTTTATACTTCCTTTACTTCCTTTGCAAACATCATCCTGTGAATCATAGTAGGAAAGGATTCCATTATCTAAAACAAACCAGCGGGGCTGCCAACCTGCAAAGATCATAAGTAATAAAAGGTTAGCAAGTCATCACTTTTACCACACAGAAAACTGTAATTTCAAACTATGTCATCCACATTCTTTACCTCAGTTATCAAATGTTGCTATAACAGAGACACCACAAAAGGATGTCTTAACAAACAGAAAATTAGTCTCTTACAGTTCAGAAGGTCAGAAGCCCAAATTCAGGAAAGGCCTTCTCTCTCTCTGAATTCCTTGCCTTTCTCTACTGTTTCCTTCTGCATCTGTAGGCCTGGTGTTCCTAGGACTCCATGTGTCTTCCTGACACGTCCCCTTGTTCCCTTGTGTGTCAAGAAGCTCCTAGTGCAGTGACTTGAATCCAAGAAGACACACTTTACTCTTGGAGATTATTTCCTGGTGCTACTGCGGTTCCCCTCTCTAAGCTACTTTCCTCCCCTTTTTAGCTTTTACGAGGCAAAAGACATTATATAGGCCACCACCACCACAACGATGGAAAACTTTCTATCAGATTAGGACTATAATGAGAATGACGGGGTCTTGCTTTCCAACCTTAATCCAAATATCAGGTTTTTCAGATCATGGGGGATTAGTACAGTTTCTACATTATACCATTAAAAAATAACTCAAATACACTTCCATTGAGTTAGGCCAACTCCAAACTGATCCTCCACTGATTTTCCAAGGCGGCAAATCGCAAGGGAGAAGAGTGCCCACCCTTCTTCCTTGAACTGCTGATGGATTCAAACCACCTGTGGGGTGCAGCCCTTGTGCAGTGATGCAACTCCTGACACGCTACACCACCAGAGCTCCGTGTGCTTTGGGGGATACATGACATTATTTCTTAGCTCTAAAATAATATTGTGACAGGTCTTAACCAAGATGTTCTTGTATCAGTCTATATTTTGTTGGGAGAGATTATGAAGAAAATCTCAAATGAACATTAAGTATGAGGAGTATGATCATTTACTCTAGTATGTCAACGTGGCCATGATCTGTGTTGTTGTTGTTGTTGTTATGTGCTGTCGAGTCACCTGTGACTCACAGCAACCCTATACACGATAGCTCTAAACCCTGTCCTATGTGAGCCAACCTCACTGTCTCTGACACTCCTGCCCCTATTACCTCAGTCACTGAGTCAATCCATCTCATCCAGGGTCTTCATCTCCTGCACTGTCCCTCTACCTTTGCAAGCATCATATCCTTCTCCAAGGACTGGTCACTCCTGGCAACACGGCCAAAGTATGTAATAATAATATGTTTATATTCTATCCTGTTTCTATGTGAATGAAGCATGACTAGAGGCATTTGATCAGCATGAACTGATAAAGGGGAAGTCTCCACAGAGGTATATTCTGCATACATATGTCTCTAGCAAAGCTGGAAAGTTTTTGTCTGATCCTTCGGCTTTGACCTCCTTTGGATTGTGACCCCCCCAGACCTGACCCAGCAGTCTTTGCCTCTGATGACCTGGCCTCAGATTCACAAGCCTCCAAAGCTTGAAGTGCAAGACCACGCTGCTTGGTCTCTGCTCCCTGACAGCTTTTGGATCCATCATCCTCTGAAGCTGGCAGTTTCAGAGCCAGCAGTCTGCAACTCTGCCTGCAGACGACTTGGACTCATTAATCTCCCCAGAAATCTAACTCACAAACCTGGGACTTGCTGCCTCTATAAGCACATGAGCCAGTTCTTTGAAATAAATCAGCACAACCCTCTAAGGACTAGGCTACCAGAGCTCCCTCAGGTTTAATTACACTTGTAATTAAGTAATTACAGTAATTAATGTTATTAAACAAAATGTCTATGATTTGTAAACTTTCACTTAAATAAATATACCTTTTAAAAAAAGAGAGAGAAAATGTTACTTTCCCTTGTACAAAGTACTAAATGAACTAAGTTTCCTACTCCACAGCACTTAACAACAACAATACAGAAGATGCTTACCCTGGAGGAGAACATGGATCTGCTCTTCATTCCACCTCTATTGCTGCACAGCTAGGGCAGAAGCTGCAGGATACTGCAATCATTCATTTAGTTAATAGTCTGTGACTAGAGAACACAACTGCCACAGACTCCAAGGAAAAGCAGCTGATCAAGATGCTGGCTTCTCTAACTCTAACTCCCTTACAGGCCAAACTCAGTGTTCCCTGGACTCTAATCAAGTTTATAACTACCACAGTTCAGTGACCACCTAACACAGTGTCCATGCATAGGCAGTATGATTATGCTTGTTCTTTCTGTGACTATTAAATCACAATTGAGTCCAAACGTTCTAGAAGAAAATGTACTGTTTCTTAAATCAACGGTGTTCAAATCATCATCACTTTAACCATAGACTTGTTATTGTCATTAGTCATATATGACTCAAAGTGAGTGCCCTTACAAATGAGTGACCCTATAAGCAACTGAACTGAACCCTGTCCTACCCCGTGCCCTCTTTATCATCCTCCAACATTTTTGAGCTCACTGCCATCTATTTCATTGGCCTTCCCTTCCTTCGCTGACTCTCCAACTATATTACTAACCAATTCCATTTTTCCATGGCCAGACATTACCTGGAATGGAAGCAGAAAGGCAAAATATTCTTATGCCCCAAAGTCTTTATACCCATATCACTTTTGAAATTACAATCCTGGTTTATCATAAGAAGGTGAGATTCTACTCTCTACACTCTGCTTAAGATGGCAGGAATATCATTAACACAGTTCAGAAAACTAGGAATCCAAAATAAAACAAGTTTCAGATGCCTAGAAAATTCTTCTTTTTTTTAAAACACTATATTATGTAATAAGACCTAAAAATTAGAAGGCAAGTTTGTTGGGGACATGAGATTTAACTTGTAAATCACTCCATTCACAATATTTAAAATGATGTCTGACACATAACAGATATTTAAAAACTTTATCTCTCAAGTAATTAAACAAGTAAGTGAATGAACTGGATACCAGAAGGTGAGATGCCACAGGTTATCCATAAAAGTGTATTTACATGCATTATATCTATGAGAATAGCTCTGTTGGTCTAGTGGTAAGAAACTCCACTGCAATCCCAAAGGCGTATGGTTCGAATCCACCAGCCGCTCCAAAGGAGAGGGAGCTCTGGTGGCCTGGTGGCAAGAAGCTGTGCTGCAATCCCAAAGGCATGTGGTTCGAGGCAACCAGCGAGAGAAGGACAAGCCCTCTCCTTCTGTGCTACTAACTGCCCTGAAAACCCACTGGCAGGTCAGCTACTGGTCAGTTCCAACTCAGTGGTACACAACAACATATCCATGAGAGTATACTGCAGTCAGTCTGTACAGAAATAATGAGAACATTATCTTTCCAGGCACCAGATCACCTTGGCAAACCAACTGGAGAGTCTGGTAAAAACATATTCCTCCACCCAAGATCCACTATGTAGAAGAAACCGTGATGTTACAAGTCTACATTAGTGCAATTAGTATTTCCTTAAATCAAATCTTGACTAAAATGATTCCTTTATAATATGTAGCAACTTAAAAGGTAGCCATAGGTTGGGGATAATGAGAATTTTGGAAATAGGCAGGGGTGACAGACACACAATATGGTGAATATAATTAACGTTACAGAAGTGTGTGATTTTAAATGGTTATAACTCTTAATTTTTTTGTTAGATATATTTTGGCATAAAAAATTAAATTTTAAAACAGGAACTATGGGTAGATGTATTAATGTAATCAAGCCTGTTAATTATTGCTACATACCCTTTTTGAGAAATATTGTGTAAAACAACATCTAATTGAGTCATATTTACATCACAGAACTATCTGTGGAATTGAGTCTCTGCATATCTCGTTTTAACTTTTTTTTTCTAAAACAAATTCATTTTATCTCAAAGTATCAAATATTACTGAAATCCTATTCTCTCCAAAGCATTCTCAAATAACACTATCATTAAACTGGAAAGTTCCTTAAAGATCAATGCTCAGTTAAAATTGACAATCAGCAGGCCACAGAGCCAATTTAAATTTTAACAATGGACTTCTTTCAAATAAAATATTTTGTGTCGACAAGCTTCTACATGGCAAACTAGCAGTTAATTTAAATGTTCGTCAGGGAACTGAAAGTTAACGCACATGTGGTTTAAAAGCTCCACAAGCAACAGCAGATGACCAAAACAGTAAAACCAACTTTCACCTCTTAAATTATGATTCATCTCAATTATGGCCCATTGCTCTGGACTCTGTATAAATGGTTCCACAGCATTACTGCCCCAGAAACTGATCTTGTTATTGTTTGCAAAGATGATCAAAGCACAGAAACTACTATCTTAAAAGTTCAATGCCATAATTCACCTATAGAGTTGAACTTTTCTTCTCACAACTACCCCACCCCAAAAAGTCACTATTTTCCTCGTTTTAAAAACAGTTCCTGTTAAAGTATGTCATTGCAAGAAATTGTCTGCATTTTTAGTGTGTGGAAAATAAAACACCCATGAATCATAAATCCTTTTTTTATGATTCTTTGCTACTTACTATAAATCTGGCTGTAGCACTCACTGTAATTAACAAAAAAAAAAAGGAGGGAAGTGTGGCAGTAAACAGTGACCATTCTTAAAGTGGTCAAGTTCACAAGGTCAGGCAGAAACAAGTGTGATGAAAAAAAAGTCTGATGAACTAAACAGGGTCAACTTTTGACAGACAGGGAATGGACAGACAAGAAGTCAAGATTTGCCTATTTTGCTACAACAAAATTTGTCTGCTATTTCAATTTATTTTAAAACCACTTCCTTTTCCTCTAATTTGATCATAGAATTCTAGAGTTGGAAAACACCTTTCATGCATGTGGTGTGTGCTAGGGCAGACTATGAGGGCTTGTGCTCTGAGAACGAAAGTTCTTAGGAGATTGTCAAAAACAAACAAAAAAAACATGTCAGCAGAGCTTACAGCGGTTCTGTGTGTGCAGTGTGTGTCTGTGACAGGATCAAACCTGCTTTCCTTACTGAGGAGCAGAAAACTGTTGTGAGAGTACTGAAGGCACAAGCACAAAGTCAGAAAGCTAAATAAAAATGGCACATCTTTAATAAAATCATGGGTGGGGGGGGGGAACGAAACACCTTTCAGATAAACTAGCTGATCCTGACTTTAACAAATTGAGAACCTGAGAAATTAAGTGGCTTGCCCTTTCTGCAGGGTGAGGGGTAAAGAAGAGGCTATTACTCAGATCTAAGGCATTTTTCATAAACCATGTTGGTATCGTAGGCCCTTCTCTCCCAGTCTCTCTCATTTCATACAAACATGTAAGGAACTCTTTCGAGTTTTTCCTTGCATTTCACTTCATGAGGGAAATGCATTTGCCTGCTTTGGTGAATAGCACTGTACTGAATTTAAAAATATAATGACACTTCATTGACAACCCATCCCTAAAAGAGTATTATTTAGGGACAGCTTCCAAATCATGACTGCTAAGCTCTAACAACTTCAACAAGTGAGTAAACTGTAAAACTAAGAGAAACATATTTTTAAAAAAAAAATACATATACTTTTTAAAAAAAAACATCTTGATCTTAAAGGGTCCATTCCAGTCCAATACTTCGACGACTCTGGCATTAATAAAATGCTGACAATTAACAGTGAATAAGGGCTGAGGCTGCAACTACACATACATGGCAACTAGGAATTGTGCTGGAGACCAGAGAAGGCAAATAAGTATTTTCACTGAAGCACAGAAGTGGTCAAATGCACTTCCCACCCTCAGAAAGGTGCGCAGTCCTCAACTCCTCCCCTGCAGAGGCCAGGTAGCGCCGGTCTTCTGGGAACCTCCCCACCCAAGTCCTCGGCCTTTCCGGGTGGCCCCCCCAAAAACCCGAGGTACGTGGTACCTGTGAGATAATTGGTCCACTTGTATAGAACCCCCTCCATCCTTCAGAGTCCCGCGCCACGCATCCTCCTGGCCCGGCGCCGGCCGCGATGATGGGGAAGGCGCCAAGCGGGGGGCGGGAGGGCTGCCCCTCCCGGTTCGCCCTGGCAATCCCCTAGGCGCCCCCCAATGGCACCGAGCAGCCCTCAGCCCGCGCGCGCCACCGAGACGTGGCGGTTCTCAGAGGCCGGGCCCGCGGGCGCTGCGCGGAGCTCCGGGGGCGCGAAGCGCGTGCTCGAGCATCCCCAGGCGAGGTTCCGCGGCGGCGGCGGTGAGAACACAGCCGCGGCCGCCCTCCTACTATAGCTCTTCCGCCGCCCGACCGCTCCCTCCGCCTCCTCGCCGGCCTCCCTTCCCCCGGGCTCCCCGTTTGTTTTCATTGACCCCGACGTCGCTTTCACTTCCTGGATAAAAGGGGCCGGCTTGTCCCGGGAAACCCCTCCCCGGCGGCGGGGCTGGAGGAGCGGGCGCGGCCTGCGGCCCTGCCGCTGCGCGAGGAGGGCGGGCCGGCGCTGAGCTCCCCCAACCGCCGCTGACCCGCCGCAGCAGCCGCGTGGGTCGGCTTCCTCCAGCCTCGGACGGGAGGCCGGGCCTCCTGTGCACCAACCCCGGTCCCCGACCTCCTGTGCGGCCGCCTTCCGAAGCCAACTCCTCGGGGCCTGAAACAGTGGGAGAAGCCCCAGGTCCCACCCGATTAGCTAGCTCTCCCCGCGCTGTCCGCTAAGGCGATTTAAATACACGTTCTGTCACACCGCGGAACCTTATCCTCCTCAAGGGGTGGAGGAAATTATTTCTCTGGCCGAACAAGAAACCTCGTGAAATTATGTCTATAATTTGTATAGCATAGTTTAATTTCGAAAAATGGAACATGGAATTAAATTCTGTGTTTTTATTTTTAAAAAAATGAGAGCTGTTGGGGTTTGTTCTCCAGAGGGACGTCTCACAGACAAAAACAATTGACACAGACTAAAAGATGAGGTATTGGAGCAGGAAACTTACTGACCATTAGCTAACAGCGTTGCAAAGGACCTGGCTGTGGCAGGGCAGGAAAATTTTCTGCTGAGGGTTTGGGGACAGTAACCAACTCTATATACACTTACAAAAACAACCCCCACTACATAGTTAGGCTAAGGAAGGTACAGGGTGATGGAATGGTAGCTTGCTTGATCTTGATCTAGTCTGTAAGCATAGCTAGAAACAAAAAGGACACAATCAGTCTGCCCCAGAGCTATTCACTAAGATTCGAAGGTAGGGAAAAAACAAAACTAGCTCAGCTTAGATGTGGCCATTTGGGGGCATTTTCACAAACTATCATACAGGAGGTAGAAGACAGCCTTATTATATCTTTTTCTCCTAGCTGGTGGGATCAAACTACCAAATCGGTTGGTGGATTGGAACCGTGTACCTTTGCATTGGCAGCATGATTCCCTACTTCTAAGCTTTAAGAGTTCCAGCTCATCAGTACACAACAATAACCATAAAGGAGCTTCATCCTAGCTTTTATGATTTTTTTTTCAATAATAATAAACCCTCATATTTCCTTCTGGGAAATGATAATGGCCTTATGTGACAATTTTTAGATTTATGGCATTATATTAGCTTTAACGCAGATAGGGCAGGCCCTGTGGCTTTTCATTGCAGCTCTGAAGTAAAATAAAATTTCCTCTTCAGGGCCTAATCTAAGCTTTTGCTGAAGGCTTTTAGGTTTAAAGAAAGAAGTCTTTGGATATTCACTCAGAAATAAGGTAAATTGGTAAATAAACAAAGATGTGATAAGTAGAAAAATAAAAACCTCACTGCCATTAACTGGAGGAGATAGCCCGTTTTTCTACCTGAAAGCAGCTAGTGCATTTGAATCTGCCAGGCTTTCAGTTAGCTTCCAATGTGTTGTACACTAAGCCACCAGAGCCAACTAAAATACAGTTAAATGTTACTTGAATCTAGGTTGAGTGTACTGACTAGCATTGTTTCAACTAGAAATGACTATGACCAGCCTAGAAAAGCTCTAGGTGATTCCTTAGAAATCTAACCTGTCATTTTCCAAATCCCCATCTTCCTGAGACTTGATCACAGTAAAACCAAGAACCCTTTCACCTATTATAAAGACCCTATCCCTTCCCCAATCACAAACTTGCCCACATCTGTGACTCCAGGGCCTGCTTTTGCTTAAATCAACAACTTTCCAGAACCTTTCCTTATTTTGTTCTTGAGTGCCAGGCTTTGGGTAGCAGTTGAATTTACTACCTAAAATCTTTGTTAAATTTTTTATTATTTGAAAAAGAACCCATACTGTCTTCTAGTCTCTTCTTATAGCTACCAACCATCAGTTTTCCAAGGCTATAAATCTTCCTATCTGGCTTTTCCTCCCAGGGTACTAGCCAACCTTTCTGTTATCAGTGCAACGTACTCTGTGCCAACAGGGCTTCCTATGACTCCAGAATATGAAGTCCCTTAATAATTGTAAACATCTTTCAATTGTTCTGTATTACAGGCTAATATGTGGAGAAGGGGACTATAAACTGATAAAAATTCTCAAAGTTCTACCTTATTTCCTGGCCTGTGCAGTGTGACTGTCTCAAAATATCAATGTCACGTTTTCCGGGCCCTATTGTTAGATATCAGCAAGTAGATTTTATTTATTTTACAACAACCCCTTATGAGAGTAAATTTGCCTCACAGGGTTTTCTAGGCTCTAAACAAGTCCCTCACTCACTCAGGGCAAGAAAGGTGGGCAATCTCCTCCTGGTTGATTTACAGCCTCAAAACCCAATAGTATCATTATCAGGGTTCATGAGGACAACACAGGATAAGGCAAAGTTTATGTCTATTGTTGATGGGGTCACTGAGTTGTGGACTCTAGACATCTAACAACCACCACCAATCCACCCAGTGGATGGTGGGGCTATGTGTTGGTTCTGACTGCACATTTATGAGTTTGTGGGGGTTTTAACCTTTACCAAAGCTGTCTGAGTTCTAACTGCCAGTCTTTGGGTAACAGTTAAGTGCTTAGCGATTGTGACACCAGAGTAGAATTTACAAGCAAGAACAGGTCCATACCAGTGGGGGGGAGGGGGGAGAGGAGAGGAGAGAAATGCAAACTGGCAGCAGGTCCAGAATCACAGTCTGCGGGTGGGAAACGCCTTTGAGGAAGATGCACCTGCATTTCTACTTGCATCCACATTGTGGCTCAGTGTGGAACCGATGTATACATGTCTCTGATGCCCAAAAAACACTTCAAGAACAGCCTAGAAGCTGCAAGAAAGCCACACACCTTTATTTCTTACCCCTTTTTACTAGAATCCTTCTTCCATATCCTTTAGTACTCCAAGAGCATTATAAGTTATTAATGTCCAAAACCAAGACAACAGTCTCTGACTACACCACGTTATTTTCTGTGAAACCAAAGTGGGGACGTCGGCTGACACAACTTCGCAAGTTTCATTTTAGGTTGAAATCCACCAGCTTCTGTGCAGATGAAAAACGGACAATCTGCTCCCTTGTCATTTACTGCCTTTGAAAATCCGCCGGAGGGTCAGCTATGGGTGTCAACTCAATGGCACACCACAACAACGAAAATCGTTGTAAAACACGGAGACCTTTTAGAAGAAAAAGGTCCATGTGTGTCCTATTGCCTTGATGACCCGGGTGTGCCAGCCCCGAGCCCGCCTCTTTCGGGACACATAACTCCACCGCTGAGCTTGCCGCCTGGGGCGGGGCTCTGCAATGGGCGGAGACACAGTCGGTCCCACCCCCGGCCCTTTGTGACGTAGGACAATGCCTGCCACGCGTCGGAACGCGGCCTCGGGGACCGCCACGGGGCGCGAGGGACACTCCAGAGGGATCACAGCGGGAATCTCTCGGCCAGCTCTGAGAACCATGCATTTCTTATTCGGCTTAGTCTTTGTTTCTTATGTTTGGGGCTTTCTTACTGTTCTGGGACAAAAAAAAGCGGAGAGCATAGACGAAGTGAAAATAGAAGTTTTACATCGTCCAGAAAACTGCTCTAAAAGAAGCAAGAAGGGTGACCTGCTAAATGCTCATTACGATGGCTACTTGGCCGAAGACGGTAAGAAGTTCTACTGCAGGTATGAAGTGCTGAGAATGCCTCTGCGGCTAGCTGACGCACGAAATCTACCCTCCATCTGCCTCATTAGTTGTTTAAGGGTTTGCTTTATTTGGGGTGAGCCTTTTATAGCACAGATTGTTTTCATCTGTGCTTGGGGGAAAGTTCGCATATAGAAGAGAATAGAGAAATATACAAAGAAAAAAGAAGTTAAATTATTAGCCAAAAGGCCTTAAAAATCGTTTGAATGAAATTGTACCATCATTTTTTTTTTTTTTAGAACAAACCCAGAGGTTAAATGATTTGTACAAGCTATACATTAAATTATGGACTGGAGACCCATTTTGAGAAGTGAACTGTTAAACAGTTTTTGTAAAGATGACTGTAAAAAAGAAAATGAGAAGATAACTTATGATTAAGCACTGGGCAAATCATACCCTTGACCGGCAGTTATCAAGGATGTTAGAGCCAAGCTGCCCATAAGAGGCCGGTATGGGAGCATAGATGGTTAGTGAGATCTGAAATTTAAATTATAACTAAATTGCCCAGTTCTGTTTAAAAGCTTGGTTTCATGTTTCTGGAAGTCATTTTGCCAAGATACTGTTCTTTTTTTACAGCCGGACACAAAATGAAGGCCACCCTAAATGGTTTGTACTTGGTGTTGGACACGTAATAAAAGGCCTAGACATTGCAATGATGGACATGTGCCCTGGAGAGAAGCGAAAAGTAGTTATCCCCCCTTCATTTGCATATGGAAAGGAAGGCTATGGTAAGATGTTTTATTATTTCTGCTTTGAGTTATAAGGGAGCTCTGGTGGTATAGTCCAAAGCAAAGTTTCTTTGCTAACCCAAAGGTTAAAGGCCATCAGTAACTCCATGGGAGTTCATACCCATCTGCAACTCCATGGAAAGTTAGTTTCTTCCCATTATGATTTACATTCTCAAAAACCCACTGGCAAGTCATCATGAGTCAGAATCAACTCATAGGTAGTAAGTCTGATTTTGAGTTTTTCACTTCTATCCACAGCTAAGGTAGTTTTAGTGTTCATCAAGTCATTTCAGCTCATAACGACCCCAAATTTTCAGAGAAGAATTGTGCTCCATTTGATTTCAAAGTTTGATTTTTCTGAAGTTGATTGCCAGAACTTTTTATCAAATTGCCTTTAAGGGGGACTCAGATCACCAATCTTTTGATTGTTGGTGGGTTGTTTTCCTTTTTTCTTTTTTAAAACACAAATCTTTTTATTAGCAGCCGAACACATTACACATTTGCATCTCCCAGGTACTTCATACCTAGCTTCAGACACCAAACCAAATCTGCCGTGAATTAATTCTGACTCATAATGACCCCCTGTAGAATTTTTTTTTAAGTCTGGAAATCTTACAGGCAAGAGACTCTCCATGTTTATCCCATGGAGCAGCAGCTGATGGAGTTCCCCTTTTCATTAGCAACTTGATAGGTTAAAGCACTATGCCACCTTTCTCTCTCTGTCATTGCTGTTGAATAAGAACTGACTCATAGCTGACTCTCTAGCGGTTTTTCAGATGCTGTAAATCAGTCAGGAGGAGATAGCACAGCTTTCCTCTGTGGAGCTGCTGGTGTATTCAAACTACCAGAGAAGGAGCCACCTTTGGGCTGCAGCTCAGCTTCCTCCAGCCTCCTCCTCCAAAGCTCGCTATACCATGAGTGCTCCTTATATTCTACTCCTAGCTCCTCTCCTATGCAATTGATTTACAGCCTCCAAAAACCAGCTGGAGGGTCTGTCTGCCTTGAATCAGCTCTGGTGCACACAACACATTGAGTGAATTTTTATCAATAAAAATGAGCCCAGGTGGTATAGTGTTATACATAGTATTGATACCCAAAAGGAGTGGTGATTCAGATCTACTACTTTCTTCTCGGGAGAAAGATGGGAAATTCTCCATAAAGATTTACAGCCTTTAAAATCCAGTAGAGAGGGAGCTCTGGTGGCCTAGTGGCAAGAAGCTGCACTGCAATCCCAGAGGTACCCGGCTCGAATCCACCAGATGCTCTGCTGAAGAAGGAGGAGCAATCTCCTCCTGTACCAGTCAGATCCAATTTGACGGTACACACACACAAAATAATAAAAAAAATCCAGTGGAGGATCACTGTGAGTCAACTCTAAGGTAGTAGATTTTACATAGAAAGAAAATAGCACAGAATGCTACTTGACCAGAGATTTTTCTCTTACACAGTGGCAGCAAGTCATAATGATCCTGTATAGTCTGTAAACATTAAAGCACTTTTGGTTTTAGTATATACTAGTGTATAGGTGTCTATAGTCTGTCTCTCCAGGAAGCAGTACCAAAACAAACTACCATCTACTCAATTCCAGCTCACAGCACCCTTAATGGACAGAGCAGAACTGCTGCATAGAACTTACAAAGCTGTAAATCTTTATGAACTAGGCTACCACAGCTTCATCCCACTGAGTGGCTGTTAGGTTCAAACTACCAGCCTTCCAATTAGCAGCCACTATGCCACCAGATTAAAATAATCCTCTGTAAGAGCTCTAGTGGCTCATTGGTAACGAGTTGTACTGCCAATGCAAAGGTCCCCAGTTCGAATCCACTAGCTGTTCCACAGAAGAAAGATGGGCTTTCTCCTTCCATACGTGCAGTTTACTGCCTCTGAAAACCTGCTGGAAGGGGGTGATTCCAACTTAGTGGTACACTGCAACAACTATAAAGATCACAGCCTTGGAAATTGTACGGGGCAGTTTGATGCTATCCTGTAAGGTGTTAATATGATTGATTGGAAATCACTTCACTGGAAGCATATTAATTCAATTCAGGGGAAGCAGATGAAGAGTGACAATGTTGGTATCTCATACAAAGACTTGAAATGATAAAAATTTGCCTGTCCCTAGAAATGGGCAAAGTTCATGATTAAGCAGTCCACTGTCAAGAAAGATATTTAAATATATGTGAATTCTTAATTTTATTTAAAACTAAAGAGAAATGAAGACTGAGACAGTTTTTTAAACCCATCAATATTAACAGTGACTAAAAAAAAAAAAGTCTACTATAATGTCAACAAAGACCTGGAAAAACCAACAGCTTCAGGCTAGGAATCTACATTCAAGCTTTTCAGCAGTTGATCCAGGTGTCTTAGCCTAAGATTTATGAAACTATCTTGGGGCATATTTTCAGATGTCCCTGGATTAAGTTTTCAATGAATCATTGAATTTTAATCCTGAAAGAGCTCCTTACAGTTTATCTATAGCCATGCCTTCATTTTATACATGAGGTAACCAAAACCCAGAAAAGATGAATCTATGGTCACTGGAGTGAAGTCAGGTGCTAGCCTAGCTGATTAGTTTTGCAAATTGTTTTTAAAAACAGATAGGTAGGTTGTTCAGCAGCTGTCTAGCAACCTTTTAATTACATAAGCTATTTCAGTTGATAGTGAGACCTAACATCAGCTCTAACTCTGTTTTAGGTAGTACTTGAAGAAGTCTTTCCTCTGCACAGCACCTTTGCCTCATGACCCAGAGCATTCCTGCATGTCTTGAAATGCATGTGACTTTCTAGTGCTTTCATTAACTCTTCATGTGGTATGTATAGATCTTTTTTATTAACGCCTGCTCTTTGATCTACTATTATGTACTCTTTCATGTTTTTGTGAGGGAAAAAACCCCACTTGGGGTTTTCTATGTTTACAAAATTGTTCAGAAACTTCTGACATACCTATTATTTTTTCCTTAAAAAATTTTTTAATCACATCCTGCAATAAACAGCTATTTTTTTCTGTCATAATGAGATAATAATTGGATGGAATTGAAATGGATTTTGTAAAAATGACCATTGAGTATATCTAGGTGTTTTATGTAAGTTCATAAATATGTGCATTAGGTTGGGGTTTTCACATTAAGCACATAGTGCATGGGTAGATTTTTCTATGCCCTATCTTTGGGTATGGCTGATCCACTTCTCTTTTTGGCAGTAGCTTTTAAGCTCTTTCCTCTTTGAATTACAAACACTTTATTTAGCAAGAATTTTTCACTTTTTAATTTTAAAAAATTACTCTTTCCTTCAAAGGAAAACCAGCCATTTTTTAAAAAGGAAAAACCTAAGTCATTCATTCAACAAATACTTAGCATATTTCTAATGGACTTGGCACTATGTTCATTAGAGACCTTAGGTATACGCAGGTGATCCAAGCTCTCATTGCCTCTTAGTAAGTCACTTTTGCAGCTCGTTTTTGTGAAATGGTCAGCTGAAATAGCTTCTAGATTACTGAAATCTTAAGTTTACTTTCTTAAAGATAGGTAGTAAATCATACAATTGTTTTACAGATGTTTGTACAATTTTCAACTTATTTTTTTAATATCTATGAAGAACTTAGTTTTATTTTCTGTTTATTTTTTCCCTTTCTGAAAAATTTTAGTCTGTCTGTGGGCACATAACCTTCAACAAAGGTTTAAAGTAAAATTAAATGAAGAAGAGATAGTATCTTTAATGAATTGTGCTGGCATAGCTGGATAAGCAGTTGCAGAAAAATGAAACAAGATCCATACCTCATCCACAAAATATTAACTCAAAGGGGATCTAAGACATAAATGTAAATCTGAAACTGTAACACTTATGGAAGGAAGAATAAGGACAGACTGAGGAATCCTAATCAATGATATAAATAAACAATAAAAAAAAATTTTAAATGTACAACCACCAGAATATAAACTAGGGAACTGAGACTACTAAAAATTTATGCTTGCCAAGTAAGTAAAAAAAGAAATGACAGAGTTGGGGGGAAATTTTTGCCAACAGGATATATAACAAAGGTCTACTCTCTAAAAAATATAGTGAAGTTCAACAACATAAAGACAATTCAGTTGTCAAATGAGTAAAGGACATGAGCAGATAATTCCTTAAAGAAGACATTTCATGGGCTAACAGATTCATGAAAAGATGCTTGTAATCATCAGTCAGTGGAAAGGTGCACCTCAAACCTACAAGGAGTTACCATCTCACCCTAGCAAAAAATGGCACTGATCAACAAAACAGCAAATGCTGGTGAGGCAGTGGGGAGATTGGAACTCGGACTATTGCAGGTGGGACTGCAACACAGTACAACTGCTATGGAGAACAGTATGGTGCTTTCTTAAAACCCTGGAGCTAAACATACCATACAATCCAAATATCTCATTGTTAGGTACATTTCCTAAAGAACTAAGAATTGTGGCACAAATAGACATGTACATACACAGCATGCTTCCCATTGATAGGTGAATAGATAAATGTGGTACATAAAATTTAATACTGAAAATTAAGGAACTCATGAAATATTATACAAAATGGGTGAACCTGGAGGACATTATGCTGAGTGAAATACCTCACAAAAGGACAAATTTTGTCACAAAAAGGACAAATATTCCATAGGGCCACTGTTGTAAAATGGGACTGACATTGAGGTTGAGGGGATAAATAATGTATACTGCATTAAAACAGACGAGGGAGAGAACTGTTTAAAAGGGGTATATAACTAGGTATTTTTATGACAGGAGTCCAGAATGAAGGCTGCACAGTGGAGTGGACTTGAGGGGAGGAATTGTATAACAATGAAAGAATTTTTCTTTTACTTTTCAAAGAGAAGAGTGAACTGGAGTAGGGGAGGAGTGGGCAGGGAGAAAAGTGCAACAATGAATGAATGGAAATCCAAAGTCTCTGTAAACTTTCACTGGAATTAGTAAAAAAAAAAAAAATAATAATAATGCTATGCTCTGATGGCCCAGTGGCAAACAGCTG